AAGCAACAACATACCCCTGAATACCTAACTGAAGCTAGCATTGTTAGAAATAAGCTAATTCATAATTCTCAAAGTGTGGTCCATGGACCAGGAACATAAGCATCATTTGAGAATTCGTTAGAAATACAAGGACCTCGCTCCAGACCAACTAATGAGAAACTACAGAATGCAGCCCAGAAATCTGTGTTTTAAGAAGCCCTCCAGGTACCTCTGACACTCAGTGAAGTTTAAAATTGAGTTCAAATTAGAGGACATGTTCCTAATTTTGTAGTATTTTTTAAGCGGTTCCCTTGAACTTGGTCTGGACAACACAACTGGTTGTGCATCAAGGAAGTGTCTCCTTTGCAACAAGAGAACCACACCTTCAGTGTAGAGGGGGTTGCGGGAGATGCTTCTCATCCAGGTTGTGTAAGGATACTGAACCCCTAAATACAGTTTATGGAGAAAGGGAACCCAAAAAGAAGTCCTCTGTTTTGTCCCACTTCTCAAGCCATAAGATGAACATCTCTCTAAAATGAGCTCATACAGCTTAGCCTACAGCCAACTGCTGCCACAGAGAGGAGTCAGAAAAGATAAAGAGGAGAGATGTGAAATGGTGGTGCGGACATAGCAGGGGACCACGTGGGAATAGCCCGGCCTGGCATCCTCCTGCTTCTCATGAGCATGTTGACCTGACTCACGGCTTTAAATGGAATGTCTGGTGAGCCAGTGTGGTTCTCATCTGGTAGAAGAGAGGTGCCTGTGTGAAAAACTGCGTAGATTACATTCTGCATTCCACTACACAGGACGGTAGCAGTAAAGTTAGCAAGAGCAAACCAAGTGGCAATGATCAAAATATGCAAATTAGGAGCAAAACTTGAATACTTCTAGAGGAAAAAAAAATAAGCAAAATAAACTCACCAGGTGCTATATTTCGCCTTAACATTTTATAAAATTAATTTTCAAAGAGAGCATTACAGAGACCTAAACGGTTGAACTTGACTCATAAGACCAGAGTAAGGTTCCTAGGTATCAAACAGGACCTGGGTATATATGATCTTCCTACTGTGTTCATACCATGTCAGCTCTACCTCCACACCTTCTTCATTACCATTTCCAGTAGCCAGACTCAGGGGTGTACGCAAAACTTTCATTTGTTTTGACTCAATGAGAAGTTGTCACTAAGATTTCAGTTTAATAAGTTTCTACCTGGTCTTTTCTTTCCTTTATCCATACAACAGCCTCTGTCAAATCCAACCCTATCTCATGTCTACCTACACAAACATGGCTAAAACTGATAAGAGGGGAGAGGGGGAATTTCTCCCAAGTCACAGCAGAGATAGTTTCAAGAAATTCTCAGATAGCAAAGAAACACTAATAGAATTCAGAAGTCCATATTCCATCTCATTTTTCTTATCCCCTTTACCTCAAGACAGAATTTACATCAACGCAGAAGGATTTCCAGGGCAGTTCTCCCAGGGAAGCAAATGGTCACCTTCTGCCCATTCAAAATACCCAAGCTAAAGACGGTAGTAGGTGGAGAAGTGCTGCCGGCCTCTGGAGGAAAAGCATGTCCCCAGATTTACCCCCCAGTTCTACCATGTTATTCCATAAATATGTTTATTGAATGTTCTCCTTTGAAACATTAATTAAGGAGCTCTTCAACCTACCATCTTCTATGTGTCCCCCTAATGGGGAAGGATCTGACGAGCCCACTCACAACCAAGAGGAATCTCCCGGAACCTTCTAAGAAGGGCAGTGGGCCAAATCAAGCCTTCTCTTGGCAGTGCTTAGCGCTGGTTCTAACTTGCGTTCTAGTTAGAAATAAACACTTTCTAGTCACACTAGTTGGAAGCAAAGAAGTGTTGAATTAATCTGTTAATTAAAAGTGCTACAAAAGACACTGGGCTATGTGAGATCCCATAGAGGAGAGCTTGAGGGACAGCAAGCATTTAGGCTACAAGTGAGAAGCAATGGGGTGCATGGAAGAAGCAGAAAGGTGACCAAGACGCTGAAGCTCAAAAAGTGAAGGGAAGAGTGAAGAGGGATGAAGTGGAGAGGTGGGGCCACATCACACAGGCCTTGTGGAGATGCAGTTTGAGTTTTATCCGGTGGGCCCTGGGCCACTGTGCAGCAAGGCTGTGGTGGTACCGCAGGCTCAAGAGCGACACGGTGTGTTGCCCAGCTTCTCTTCTAGGCATGAGCTCTGGTCTTCCGCAGGGGTGAGGTGGAGAGGGCCGATGTGCAGAGCACTCCTTTGGGGGCCCATGTGCCGGTCTTGGCACGGGGATTTGGCTCATTCACAGACAGCCCGTCCAGCTTCGCAGCTTGGAATAATCATGTCATGACTTCAACTTTGCCTGTCTGGATCAAGCCTTGAAACGCTCTCCTGTTGTCCTATGGCAAGCTGCTCCCTGTCCCAGGGGAGGAGGCTGGGTGGTGGTGGAGCTTGAAGCACCAGGAAGACTTCTTCCTCATTCCTGCTCAATGCAGCCAGACACCCAACCAGTAAGGCCAGATTGGAGGTGCCTAATCCTGTTTACCTGAACATGGTGGCATTTTTCCAGAAGCTCAGGTGCCCATTTACAGTGCGTAAGCATGGAATCTGGATTACAGATTACTACTTAATAAATTTTGTATCTTGGCATTGTCTTGTAGGTCCCCCTTCAGACATTCAATAGTGGATGTAGATGTAGAATTCAATAAATACTCAGTAAGTGACACTGAACGGCAACCGCAGTTGGTTGGGTTGGTCTGAGTGATAGGCCACGTGGTGTTGCACTTCCTGGCTGATGTCATGGGCCTACACATATGTGGTGAAACATACTGACGCTCACCACCCTGAAGTCCCTGGTCACTCTCAAGCCCCCTGACCACTTTCTGAACACCAGCCTCCTGTCTTACTCATTTTATGAAGCTTTGGCTTGGAAACCACCATACATAGTCATTTAGTATACGCAGGGAGTCAAGTGAAACCTTCCTTAAAGGGGTAATAAAGGAGAGACAGAGAAAGGAGAAAGGAAAGAAAGGAAAAGGAGAATAATAATGCACACACCATTTACTGAACACCCACTCTATACCAGATGTTTGACAAACATTATTGTTCATCATGACGCTACAAGGTCACATTATTCCCATTTAACAGATTAGGAGAGTAGAGCTCAGGGAGGTTCAAGGATTTCTCAAATCTTCACAATCAGAAAAAGGCAGGTCTGGGGTTCGCATTGGACAACGATGCTGCACTTCCATGTGGTGAGGGAGGAAGCTGGAAGCACTGTGAAGACAGAAGCCCAGCTGTTCTGCATGGAACCTCTCTGTACGCCCAGCATACTTGCCATGCACACTGCCCACAGCACTCTTGTCAACATCTGTCTGGGTTTCCCAAATATCCTGCTCTCCCTCTCACTCCCCTCCCAACCCTGCCCTAAGAGAAGAGATGCATTCCAGATTGCCATCCCCAACTCCTCACTCCTCCCTCCAATTTCTGGACATTTCCTGTTTTCAAATCATCACATTTCCTGTTTTAAAATCAGTAATGGCCCTCCTCAGGGATTTCCCTTAAGGAATTCAGAGCCAGTGTTGAGTGGGTGAGCAAAATCATGGCTTCGTGCTTTCCAAAGACCTTCAGAAGGCTTCCCACAAGTGGCCAGGAAGTGGAGGCAGATGAAATGGCAGCTTGAAACCCCTGGAGCCCTTAATCTCTGCCTCTTAATTAATTGAATACCATCCTTTTAGATGGCTGGAGTCTTCGTTCCCTGACTGGTGTTAATACAACGTCAAGTCAGTAGCCTGTCTCAACATACAGAGATGACATTACAGATAATGGTAGTGTGGGTGAGAGCAGTGGGGATCAGAGCCCAAATGAGGCCCCAAATAATCATCAAATCAAAGGAGACATGTGCTCGTGAGGGAAAGGTGAGGAAGACCTTGATGCCCAATAGGCAGCCAGGTCAGCAACCGGGAGAGCTCTCCAACTAAAAGATTAAGGATCTGGTTCATCCTGTGGGCAGTGCCTGAGCATCCGGGCACAAACAGCCCTGACACTAGGACATCAAGAGATATATAATAAGTCTGTATTTACCAGAATTGTCTAAGGAAAAGACTACACGTAGGGGACTCAAAATTCTAATAAGCATGGGGGGAGAGGAGGGAGCCCCCAGGGGACATGGCAAAGCCGCTTTGTAAAAGACTCTAATATAATTAACTACAGGGGCTTTCCTTTTATGCATGGGGTGAGCAAACTGGGGACAAGCAAGAGGAGAAGCTGCTCACTGTCACCAAACCATCCTCCTCCCATGTGTCGATCATCCTCTCATTGATTAGAAGGGGTTCCAGATCGCTTTCCCTGCCCAGACTGTCCACATATCTCTCTTCAGCCCTGATGATGGGGAAGTTGCAGCATACAATCTTATAGCATTGTAATGTAAATCTCTGTACCCCTTAAATGTCAGGGTCCTGAAAGAAATCCCTGGTTATCCCTCCTTTGCTGCCCTCTGTCAGGAATTGGTCTGACCATCACACTCTCCCTCCTGGGGCAGGTACCATTTGGGGCCGGCGACAGTTAACAAGACTGCCAGTAGTTTGAGTGTGGTCCATACCTGACCCATTTCTGCAGCATCATCTTAACTTATATTGGGTGTAGCTCTTTGTTAAATGTGTAGCAGTTTGGATGAGTAGATAGAGGATTTGATGCATGAATGACTGGATGCATAAGTGAGTGAATACATTTGCAAGATAGCAACCCTGGGATAAGAGATGAAACTTACTTGTGGAATATTTTTTCTCTGTATAAAACAGACACAATTGAAAATGGAACCCTCAGTCTGGATCATGCTCAAACTAACTGAGCTATTCTGCCCAGAAAGACACATCATGGCATTGATTAAGCCTTTCTTGCTTGGGCCCATTGTGGTGGTAATTATGGCCATACCACCAAGGCATTTCTTGAGGACAGGCCTGTTGGAGAGCAGGTGGCCAAATATTTCCACTGACTTGTTCTCTTTTTTTTTCCCCCTTTTCAGATTATCAAGGAGGTCCCTCCACCCCCTGCTGAGGAGAGTGAGGTAAGTGACCAGAGCAGGGTGCAGCGGGATGGACAGAGTGGTAAAGTGGAGCAGAGAGTGGGCTGGGCTGGCCCAGGACTCAGGCCCCTGCAACACAGAGCTGAGTCAGGCCCAGGCTCCCATTGTATCTGAGGTAGCAGGGAGGGAAGTTTTTGGTCCTTTCCGAACCAAGGTTGAACAAACTGAACTGACCAAGGTTGACCAGAAACTGAACTGAACTGCAGCCACGGACAGAATAGTTTGGGAGCGTTTTCCACCTGCAAAGATAAAATCTGAGATGCAAATATAAATATTTTTATCAATACAATTTTTCCCTTTAAAACGGACATTTTAGGTTTCTCTTTTCCCTGCAGAGACTATGCTTCATGTATGTAGATCAGGGCAAATTTGATACATTCTCCAAACAATTAGTGATTCTAGGAACAGCCTGATGCTGAAGTATTCCATTTTTCTTTAATTTAACACAATGCCTAAAGATTAGCCAGGCAGTAATAATAATGTATGGGAGGGCGGGGGAGGTGGTGGTGGGAGAAGATATGCTAATATCCTGGCCTTGCTCCCAAATCTTCATCATTTGAAGGGAGGAAAAACATCTTAGACTCCACCATAAATGGGTCAGTAAGCAGTTCTGGTGCAAGCGTGGCCTAGAGTAGAATATGGTGGAGGCATTAAAGGCTAATGGTGAGAAGGAGAATCCCTGGGCCGGAGTACCCGGCCGGTGGCTTTTCTGATCCTCTGATCACTCTCAGAGCAACAGGCCTCCTTTGGATGCATCACTCACCAATTTAGAAGCCAGGGTACAGGTCTGAAAACAGTGGGATCAAAAGACATAGGGGTGGAGGATTCAAGTTCACAGTCCTCAATCCCTAAGGTCTATTGTATGCAAACTGAGCACTGCCCCCTGGCCATTCCTCTAACCACTGCCTTCATCAAGTTTCCTGCATACAGAAAGAATAATGATTGAATTTAACATTCCACGAGTCTGTTATATCCTGAACCATATGCATGTAAGCCAAGGGATTTAATAGCTGCACTCAATTAAAGCACATATTGTTGGAATGCTAACTTTTTGCCCAGAAATCAAGGGAGGAAATTACATTGCTGTGCAAAGAGGGAGGATAAAACCCTCTTTACATCCACAAAAGCCTTTCTTAATCCTTCAAGAGAAAGCACCGTGGCTAGTTCCACGGGTTCCAATTTGGCTGTGTTTCTGTTATGTGCAGCTGTCTCTTATATTCCCAAAGGAAAATAGGGCAAGAGGCTTTTGCTTGATGAAGTTGCTCTGTTTGCCCCGAGGTGAAGAATGTTCCCTCCCCTTATTATGTTCAGTTAAAGGAGCTGTTGCCCTTTTTTTCTGGTGCTGACTCTGCATTTGCCTTTGGAAGCAGCCACTGTGGTCGAAACACACCAGGGGACTTAGGTACAAGACCGTGGGGTGTGGTTTACCCAAAACCACCTAGTTTCATCTAATATTTCTATAGAAGTCCTACTTTTACCTGAAGAAGGCAGACCTGGCTTCTGAAACAGAAGGACAACCCTAGGATGCTTGAGATCTAAAGGGTTGTGTTAGACCTCAAGGAGCTTCTGGGCTGGCTGGGGCAGACTGCAGGCTGTGCTGATCACTCAACATGGTTTGTTGGCCTTGAAAGTTCCTTGGCCTTGTGAGTTAAGCAGCCCTAATCTCCTTCCTAATATGTTTCAGCAGAAAAAAAAGAAAGAAAGAAATCCCACAGGAACAGATAACATAATCTATACCTACATAGTATCTTACACAGTGCCCTGAAAATCATAGTCTGAATCTAGACTTCTAGAACCCTCTCCATTCCAGCTCCCTGCATTTAAATCCTGTCAATCCTTCAGGTACAGCTCATGTGCTATTATCTCCACAAAACGCTCTATAATTCCTTCCATCAGGACTAATTTCTCATTTCCCCCTTCTCTGCATTCCCAGGGTATTTTATTGATCTTTTCTTCTGCATCAAAGGTTAAGTTCATTAGCTACTTGAAGGTCAGGATCTATATCTCATTAATCATGGATTTATCCCCGAAGAGCTTAACACAGTGTCTAACACTCAATAGCTCTCTGAAGTCAAACGCTCTGCCATATATGTGAACAAGTTCAGTGTTATTTATCCAAGCTTTTATCAGTTCTATAAGCTTCATATCCTAAGGGAGACACATGTACTATTTAAATAGCTAAACTTAGAATGAACACAACTTTATAACAAGCTCTCAGTGGTCCTCTTTAATAAGGAATTATCAAAATGCATAATATAAAAAAGCGTGACTTTTCAAGATTCCACGCAACCAACAGTGATACCTCTATATAAAGAGAGACAAAGAAAAATTTTGAGACCTCAACAAAAGCAAGAAGGCTCAATTTTAACAACTAAGATGGGTATTTCTTGGGTTGAGAATCCTCTCTAATTGGCAGCAGAGTGAGGATTCCTCATGAAGCCTCTAGCTACTCCAAAATACTGGCAGCTTAAGGGGGAACCCAATAATGGAGTACTTCATCTGATGATTCAATTCTAACTCACTTCAATGGTTTTTCTGTTGGGGAGGGAGAGGGATGCATATTGAAGGCATTGACGGTGGGCATGCAATTAACCATAAGCACCTGGCCTTGAATAATGAACTTATTTTTAGGTTCATTATCATGCTCACTCGTCCTAACAATTTCTCTGTGGCAAGAATGTTTTAGATGCGAAAACCGAGCTATGGAAAAATTATACAACTTGTCTAGGAACAGACAAGTTGAACCCCTTCACAGCTATGTCTACACAGACAGCCAGAGTAGATCCCCACTCTGAAAGGCGGAAGGCCAAGCTACTGCCAGGCATCTTCTTTCCAGTGGTCATCAAGTACACACTCTCATGCGCGCACACACACACACAGACACACACACACACGTATGCCCCAAGCAGAAGTCCTAGAACAGTCCCAGAAGTCAATATTCTGTATGTCAATAGTTTGAAAAAGGAACATCATTATTAAAAAAGTAAATACACTATCCTTCACTGAAGAATACAGGACAATCACAGTGCTGTCCTTAATCATTGCGTGTATTTGAAGAGATAGGATGTGGGGTCATGACATGTTAAATGCAACTCAGAAGGGGGAAATCTCAAGTCAGTTGGGATTTTTTGTATTTACATAGAGAAGTGTTGTTGGATCTTTCTGACTTGCCAATTCACTCCTAGGAATTCATCTCCAAGACTGCCATTGAGGGTGACTTCTCTGGCTTCTCCCCAAAGACTTCAGATGAGACAGGATAGCTAGTTCTACCTCAGGTTCTGCCCCCCAGAGCCTCGTGGACCTGGGAGTTTCAGTGGCCTTGGTCCTTTACTCATGTCATCACCCTCACCAAACACGTTCCTCTATAAACGTGGACAATCTTGTTGACAGTTGTATTCCTTCCGTTGTCTTTATTTTTCTCAAAATATAGCCCTGTGCTGGCAACTAGTGGGGGGCTCAACTCCAGTTGCTTGAGTGAGTAAATGAAGGAATAGACAAATAAGGGGCCGTTGTCGGTGGCCATATAGGGCTTATCATAAGGGTTTAAAATGTGTCACAGGTCAATGAAATGTTAAATGAAACCATTTCCTTGGGCTCAATTCTGTTTCAGGTCCATTCTCCTTTCCATAGATCATTCCCGCTGGTACGTGCGGTGCAGTGAATTGAGGGTTGAGAGTTTGTTTGGCCCATGATAGAGCACTGAATCAAAGACTTCTTCACAGAATAGGTTACATGCCAGCGATATTCTAAATGATAAGTAGACGTAGAGGAAGGATGTTCCGAGCATATGGAGCCATAAATGCTGAAGCATGTGCTTGTACCTAAGCCTGGTATGACTAGAAAGATGGCAAAATTCAGTGTCCAAGGGCAGCACAGGACAAATCCAATTACGGGCTAACCAAATGCGTGTGTCAGATTCCATGTTCTAGAGCTATTTCTTCCGGGAGCAGGGCTGCCTGAGGACAAGCATTTCAGAAGGGGCCTCTACCATCTGAGTAACGGTGCAGCCACTTTTACCCAAACAGCAGCCAACTACATGTCTGGGGCCACCACATCCGTTAAGATTTATAGATAACTTCCCCTGATGGGAAGCCAGCATCCCTCCCTAATCTCTGCGGTTTCTTCCGGCACCACTGACTCCTACCTCTTGCTTAGGCCTTATCTCATCTTCTTCATTTGCCAAACACCATCTTGCAAACCTGATTCCCACACTCCCCCCAAGGCATCCCTGGCACAAGACCGTCTGCAGAAGGGCCTTTAAAAAAGTACAAGGGTGAGTTGCAACACAGTTCACCAGGAGGCTCTTGGGGCCCTCTTCTCAGGTGGACCCTGGCAGTTTCCTGGCATCTCAGCTCCACTCTCTTGTGCCCATTTCTGCTGGCTGCCCGCAAACCCTCTATCCCTACTACTTTGCTCACGCAAAGCAATGTGGCTTAGCCTGTCTGTCCTCCAGTAATCACAGAGGATTTGTGTACCAGAAGTTCTTTCTCACCCTGCTAATGTTCTTGAAGGGCAGTGTGAGAGGGCCTCCGCAAGAGAGACTTGATACTTCATTCAAGGTAGAGATTCACTTCAGGTGCTGCCGATTTTCTTTGTGGCATTGCTGGGGACTGTGCTTTTACTCCATCAGTTTTTGGCCAAATGAAAAGACACATCAAAGATTCCCTTCTCTTCTGAAGATTGCAAAACCCTCCCGTCTCTAGAATGTGTAAACAGACCCATGGTAACTGCAGGGAAATTCTGACTCTCCCGTTGGTCAAACCCTGGGCCTTTGTGTTGTCTTTGCTGTTGTTGTTTGAGTTTGGCAGGCGAGCTCGGGTCAGGGGATTACACGGCAGGCTTGGTGGAGCAGATTGAAGTCCCGGCATTTCCTGTTGTGGGAAGGCCAGCCCCTGCTGCACATGCTCAGGAGAGCGCAGACCAGAGGCTGCAGCAAGTCCGTGGTGGGAGGGAGGATGTAAGGAAGAGCAGCTCTGGGTGCAAATAGGGGGGAGATCCAGGCATCAGGGAACAGGACCAGAACTTCAACTCCACTGGTCCCTTCATTTCACTGGATCTGACTGTCCTCTCCTGTGCAACGAAAAGCCCCTAGTAAATGGTCTCCCATGTTTGTACTCCTGTTCTTTAAAAAATTAGGAGACTCATGAGACCATTTCAGTTCCCTGCTGAATAAGTCAGCTTTATTCTTGGAGTTTCTTACATGCTTGGTGCTTTTATGTTCAGTTTTGGGTGATATAATTTCATTTATCTCCTTTGGAAAAGAAACTGCACTAGACCAGGAGTGAAGCCACATTTCCTATATGACACACAGACACATACACCCACCTCCAGGGATACTTGAACCGTGTGTGTAAGATACGTAAGGGTCTTGGTTTAACATCCTAAACCTTCTGAGGTTCTTATCATTAAAGTAAGATAGTGTGAACGTGTTATTTGGGGCTCTTCGGTGTTATTTTACTATTTTATCATGTGCTACAGTCCTAAATCTTCAAGATTAGCAGGTACAAGGGGGAAGAAGTAGAAAAGTAGCATTTATTTGGTACCACCAAATGACTGGAAAAGCAAAACCAAAGGACAAAACCCAGAATTTTGCCAACACTGAGAAACAAACGGGAGCGAGGCTATCTGGACTCGGAAGCAGTTCTCTCACCTATAAACTGGGTGACCTGAGACCCTTAACCTCTCTATTCCTCCTCCCAAAAATGAACATAATAGCACCACCTACCATGCCGCCTGCTGTGAGATTAAAAGGTTAATGTCAAGCACTTGGAAGAGTGACTGGCACATACATGGTAAAGACTTCCTAAATTCAACTGGTTATCATGAATTCGGTATCTGGTTATTGATCACCTCCTTGTGAACCAGCTCCATACAAGACCTAGAATACAAGGGTCAACAAAATACACTCTGTGTTCAGGACCCACAGTCCCTGGGGAAGAAAGACAGATCTGTTTTAAAGAGACAGAAAGACCAGCCCAGTATCAGCTGCCAAGATGTTGCAAATCCCCTGGTCTGCTGTGATCGTGTCTTTTAAGATATAGAAATTTTTTTGATTTTCTAAAAAGAAGCCTGCCCGTCCCAAGCACAGTAAGTCACCCAGAGAGTCTCCATGTGTTACTGTGGTGCTTCGTCATCTCTGGGTCTCTGTATTGCTGACCACTTGTCCTTGCTTTGTTCCTTGCCTCCTGCATGGGATCCCCTTTCCACCCACTGATAGAATTGGCCCTACCTAGGACTCCAGTCTGAGTCCTTGACTCTCCAGTACCACCAACACAGGCTGTGGGAAGCAGGCCTGTTCTGAGGATTTTCAGCCTCTTTGGCGTATTCTTCTGTTTTCCAGACTCCTTTTTTGCAGCTTCCTTTCTTTACCCAGGAGGGAAATCGTGCTACTCCTCTGTCACCCACCTGTGACTGTAGAAGGTGGAGATTTTTCTCCCCTCAACAGGAATAATTACGGTGCCAAGATAAGGAGCAGTTTTGCTAATTAGCCTTCTCTTTTCCATCCATAAAGTTACAGGTTCCTCTTGTTTTCTCCCTTCATCTTAAAAAATACAGTAAGCGCTAGCTTCCTGTCACTGAACTAAGTGGCAGACACTGAGTTAACTGCTTTATTTGAATCACTTCATTTAATTTGTTTGTAAATTCAACAGATAACTCTTGGGCACCTTCCACATTCTAGGTGCCATTCTAAAAGCTGAAAATGCAATGGTAAACATGACGAGTAAACAGAGGCTTCCATGGAACTTACACTCCAGCCAATAGTAAATAAATATCAAGGCATGAAAGGGTCCAGAACTGAAACTGAAACAGACTGATGGGATGAGGAGACTGGGGCTGCTTTAGACGGATGTCCAGGGAAGTCCTCTCAAAGAGTGATAGGAAGGATCCAGCCATGAGAAGAGCAGGGCAAGAGCATTCTTGGGTCAGGGGACAGCTTGTGCACAGGCCTCGAGACAGGAATGCGCTCTTTGAGGGACAGAGGGAGGGCAAGCAGGCTGGAGTACAGGGAGGTGGAGTGTGGTAAGGAAGAAGGCTGGAGAGGTGAGCCAAGGCCAGAGCTCACAGGGCAGAGCTGGGTTTGGATTTTCCTCTGCTGCTTTGTGGAGAACGGATTGTAGGCGAGGAGCACAGCAGAGAAGCCAGTCAGCGGCTACTGCAGTATCCTACAGAAAGCCGAGGGGGCTTGGGACCAGTGTGGTGGGGTGGGGATGGAGGTGGAGGTGGAGAAGTCATAGCTGTGGGGTCTTTTAGAACTAAGGTCAACAGAATCTGCTGACAAATTGAGATGAGGTGGGGGGAGGGGGGGTTCAAGGGTGACTCCAGGCAGTGGGGAATACTGCAGGACGAGCAAGTTTAAGATGAGGAGATGATGGGGAGACTCCTCTTTGACGTGGTACTACTGAGATGGCTATTAGTCCCCTGAAGGGAGATGTCAATGTCGAGTCAGGAGTTGGGTTCAGAGGAATCGGGGATAAAGATAGAAACACAAGTCATCAGCATGTAGATGGGATTAGGTGAACCGCCCTATGAAAGAGTAGAGATGCAGCAGAGAATGGGTTCCTGGATTGTGCTACAACCTAAGGAGGCAGGAGTGCTTTTACCCCCGCTTTACTGATAAGGAAAATAGACTCAGATAGCTTAAGTGACTTGCCCCACAGACGGCCTAGGAAGCTCTGAGGTTTAACCCAGGCAGTCGATTCCCATCCACTTTGCCAAAGTGGACACGTACATACAGCAGTGGTGCTTTGCTTCCTTCATATATGACAATCTCTCTGCAGGAAGAAGATGACGATGGTCTGCCCAAAAAAAAGTGGCCTACTGTAGATGCGTCTTACTATGGTGGGCGAGGCGTTGGAGGCATTAAAAGGATGGAGGTAAGATACAGCTTCAAGTACTCATATCTCTGTGCCGACTACTCCGTGATGGAAAACCAGATAAAAGTGGTGAAAGCTCATACTTGAGGTCTGGTGGGAATTTGGATTATAAGGCGTCAGATGGAGAGATGGCAGGTACACCCCTTTAACTGTGCACCCCCATATCTTGCCCACCACTTACAGTAATTTGTTTATCTGCTCAAACACCTCAGTGGTTTCCTCTCCCACTGGAATACAGTGCAAAGTTCTTTCCTGGGCCTGTAGGGCCTTTGCACATGCTGTCCCCAGTCTGGATAATTCCTCCCCTAAACATCCATCTGTGTGATTTGCTCTCCCTGCCCCTTCAAACCTCTCTCTTTCCCTTTTTCCACACCCTCCTCTTCCCTGACCCTAAAAACCCAAAGGAATTGGGGAGTGGGTAGCACTCACATTGCATATCACACATGTACGTATGATGCCCATCTCCAGAGGCATTTTACTGTATTTTGTCATTTTGTTTTATTATATGTTATTTATTGTAGGTTCGCTGGGGAGAAAAGGGTTCCACAGAAGAAGGTGCTAAGTTGGAAAAAGCAAAGAATGCGAGAGTCAAGATGCCAGAGCAGGAGTACGAATTCCCCGAACCTCGAAATCTCAACAACAACATGCGTCGGCCCTCTTCCCCCCGGAAGTGGTACTCGCCAATCAAGGTGTGTCCCTTTCTACTCAGAAACCCATCATCTCTCCTGATAAAATGATCCTGATAAAATGCTTAAAAGTACACGTACTTATTTTCTCTATTTCTACATTATCAAAGTTGAAACTAGGCTTTTTAAAATCACCACGGCTGGGGTGCCTCATGGTTCAGTTAAGCGTCTGACTCTGAGTTTGGGCTCAGGTCACGATCTCACAGTTGGTGGGATCGAGTCCGGTATCAGGCTTTGCACCGACAGCATGGAGCCTGCTTGGGATTCTCTCTCTCTCTCTCTCTCTCTCTCTCTCTCTCTCTCTGCTGCTCCCCCACTCATGCTCACTCTCTCTCTTCTCTCTCTCAAAATAAATAAACATTTTTTAAAAATCACCATGGCAAACTAGCAGAATCCAAGTGGACTATGAGTCAAGAGACTGGAGTAGTGACCCCAGAAGATCACATAAATTCCTGTAACATCTCTCAGCTTCATTGGTAGACAGTTCCACTATCTAACAAAAATGGCAGCATTCCTCTTGATGCCTTATCTCTCTTCCTCTTGCCATAACACAAGCCAATTCCCCTTTCTCCAAGCTTCCCGCCAGTGCGTCATGTGTTGGCCATGGATTTAGGACTCACTCGTCCTGTCTGTGAGCAAAACCACCACCACCACCCCCCCGCCTTTTCTTTTCTCCACTATCTCTCTTCCCCTGTATATCTCCAGAGCTTAAATCTCTTCAGCTTATTAGGGAATTTCAGCTATAGAAGGTAGCTAGTGCTTCCTGAAGACTTCTTTTCTCTTCCTCTTGTTCTTCCTCTATTTCTATACTGCAAACAGAAACTGGGCCAATTCCAAGGCCTCAAGTCAGAAGGACCCAGTTTAAGAGCCAGCTCGCATCACGCACATATACACATGCACCCACACAGTCTTACCCTTCTTCCAGTAAGAGCAAAAATACTACTCATCATCATTCACTGAGTTATTTGCTAATTTAAAAAAAATTTTTTTAATGTTTTATTTATTCTTGAGAGAAAGAGAGACAGAGCATGAGTGAGGGAGGGGCAGAGAGAGAGAGGGACACAGAATCCGGAGCAGACTCCAGGCTCTGAGCTGTCAACACAGAGCCCGACATGGGGCTCGAACTCACGAGCTGAGCAGTGAGATCATGACCTGAGGCGAAGTCAGATGCTCAACAGACTGAGCCACCCAGGCACCCCAGTTATTTGCTAATTTTAGAGCAGCACTTCTCCTATGAAATCAAAAGAAATACATTTTTTAAAAATTGTCTTTATTGTTTATTTATTTTTGAGAGAGAGAGAGAAAGAGACAGTATGAACAGGGGAGAGGCAGAGAGAGAGGGAGACACAGAATCTGAAGCAGGCTCCAGGCTCTGAGCTGTCAGCACAGAGCCCGACGCAGGGTCGAACTGACAAACCGCAAGATCATGACCTGAGCCAAAGTTGGACGCTTAACTGCCTGAGCCACGCAGGCGCCGCAAAAGAAATAACCATTTTAAACAATGGAGTGACATTTCATTGGTAATTGTCTCTTCTCAGCCAAGCTGGCTCATGCTCACACTAATTGCAGTGTGTTTTCATTTTGGTTTGCTGTGTTTAAAGCAAGGAGATTCTTTTTTAAGATAAGTGCGCCCACCCCCCCCCACCCCCCCCCCCCTCACCCCACCCCCGCCAATGGCTTGAACTCTGGAAAGATGTGGGCGAGATGTAGCTTGCTTGACTAACAGCTGGTTGCTTCTAATTATTTTCTAATGCAGAACATGCAATGGCGTGCATGCATGTGCAGACAGGAAGGAGCCAAGTAGAACCTCAGAGATGAAGAAGAAAGGGAATTTTCTATTAGGTCGTTTTTAGGCATCTGTACCTTGTGACTAACATGACATATTTGGTTATCGCCAGGTTTTCATTTCTGTAATCCTGGACTTTGAAAGAACATTAATTCTGTTTGAAGAACCCAATTTCTGCTTGAGAGAATGTTATTCCTCCATCAACCAGTGGTTTAGGACTGAGTTTTATGAAGTAAATAGGAATATAAACAACTGGATGCATACGTCTAAAAACATTCCCAACACCCACTTGGAGTTAGCATCAACGAGCGTTTGTTGTGTACCTAGTATGTGCTGGGTACTGCCAGATACTAAGTATACAGAGGTTCTCAACCCTGGCTGAGTATCAGAATCACCCTGAGAGCTTTAAAAATACAGATTCCCAGGCCTAATGACTTACTCTCACGAAAGGCTTTCATAGGCACACAGGCTGTCTGTCACAACTTGCTTTGCTTTTTCTCGGTGAAACTCCTTTTCCCCCCAGTGCCTCCCTTTCTAACATCAAAACTCCCTAAGCCACACCCCTCTGTGGCCCCCAATTATCGTTACCTCCACAGCCTCTGCTCATGAGCCTCCTCCTTAGTCATTGTGTCCCACTGCTGGTTCTCACAGTGTGGTCCCTGGACCACCAACATCAACATCCCCCAGGAACTTGTTGGAAATGCACATTCTCAGGCCCAACCCAGATGTACTGAATCAACAACTTCAGGGGTGGGGCCCAGCCATCTGGGATTGAACAAGCCCACTTAAGAAATTGTCACCAGGGGCGCCTGGGTGGCGCAGTCGGTTAAGCATCCGACTTCGGCTCAGGTCACGATCTCACGGTCCGTGAGTTCGAGCCCCGCGTCAGGCTCTGGGCTGATGGCTCGGAGCCTGGAGCCTGTTTCCGATTCTGTGTCTCCCTCTCTCTCTGCCCCTCCCCCGTTCATGCTCTGTCTCTCTCTGTCCCAAAAATAAATAAACGTTGAAAAAAAAAAAAGAAAAAAAAAAAAAAGAAATTGTCACCAAAGGGGCACCTGGGTGGCTCAGTCAGTTGAGCGTTCGACTTCGGCTCAGGGCATGATCTCACAGTCTGTGGGTTTGAGCCCCGCATCGGGCTCTGTACTAACAGCTCAGAGCCTGCAGCTTGCTTCCCATCCTGTGTCTCCCTCTCTCGCTGCCCTCTCCCCCACTCTCACTTTGTCTCATTCTGTCTCTCAAAAATAAATAAATGTAAAAAAAATTTAAAAAAAAAAATTGTCACCTAAGGTTCCAGCCACACTGCCGTAGAGAAGGTTCCCTGAGGGCAGGAACCTTGGCACCTGGCCAAAAGATCATGACCACACCTCAGCAATTTGTCAGAAGTCTCTGCAAGGAGGCCCACGTTAGATTTCATAGCCTATTTCTACCACAGACGCAACGGCGGGATTAATGTTAAATGGTTGAGAATCTGAGTGTCAAGGAAGCCCCGGACAGCCAGATGGGAAAGACGTGTGATGTCGGTGGACAGGCACAGCCCCTCAGCAGTACTGTCATACTCTGACATGGGAACGGTCACTTTGCCTTCCTGCTGGTGGAGCAGCTCAAGCCAAGGCCTGCTCAGCTCCCTCTATACAATAGTCCGCTAGTGTGATTGCTCATGTGTGAGACTTCTCTCCACCAGATTTGACCCCCTGGGGGCACCACTTCTGCTTAACTCATCTTTGAACCTGCAGGAAACAGCACTGTACCTGGCATAGCACAGGGACTCTGCCATCTCTTGTTACAGAGCTGACACATAAGTTTAATTACAAAACCACTCCCAGAGTGTCCTGCTGGTGAGACTATCTCCTGTGACGTGCACAGATCGCTTTGGTACCATCAGTTCAAAGAAGGTGACATTCTTCTTGCCATCCCTTTGAGGGGAGGAGAGAAAAAGAGGTCACCTTATGTGTTGAGGGAAGGGTGAGAACAAGGAGGTTTCAGAATAGAAGCACAGAAAGGAATTCAAAAGTAAAATTGTATACTGTCTCTCAAGAAGAAGGGCAGACTTGCTCCCAGAACGTCAGCATTCATATTGTTTAACAAGTTTCATGCTCCATGATGAGCCCCATCTTAGCTATGGTGCCTGCGGATGTCACTGGGCCTTGGAAGAACATTTAGCCTCACATAGTGCTGTAAACTCTGTTTCCCTTTGATGAACCCTCTCGCTGGATTTGTCACAGTCTGGGCAGGAAATAGAAGCACACTCAAGAGGGTTGAACTTTTGGTGAGGGCAGGGTTAAGAGAACCCACAGAGATGGCCAGGGATTCAGGGACTGGCAACCAGTGAGAGCTGTTACCTCCCTAGGCCTGAAGGATAAGGACGGGAGATGGTATCATTTGAGCCAGTGACCAGAAGAGGCCACCCAGTGGGAGCTGTGGCCATAGCAAGGGAATCAGCAATCTAAATCTGCCCTACCGCCTGCTTTTTATATGACCCACAAACTAAGAGTGGTTTTTATTATTTTTAAATGGTTTTGTAAGTTCCTATATAATACCCTAGAGTTTGCCTCAAGCTACAAAGCTTAAAATATTTACTCTATGCCCTTTACAGAAAATGTTTACAGATCCCTCTCCTAAAAATGCAGCCACCGAGGAAGGCAGGGGGTCAGGGAGGGAACAGAAGAGATAAATGCCCCGACCTCTCCCTCATCTTGCCCTCATCTTGCCCTCATCTCCTTCTGGTACACCTATCGGCCAAACCAAAGGGCAACCAGGTGGTGTTTTCTGTAGAAGTCAGGCCTCTGGGGCATAGAGCTGGGAGGACAGAGAAAGGCAGAGAGTGGATGGGGGCATGCAGCTCATGCAGAATGACCAGTCCATTCTCTGCCCCCACTATAAATAGGGAGAACACTCCCACCCCATGTAAAACTTTCAAGAGACACTGGAAAGACTTAGCTCCCCAGGGAAAGTGGTCAGAATCATACACATCTTTAAATGTATTGCATTCGACTCACTTTTTTCATGCACGTTATAAAATCGATATGAGAAGCAGAGAGGCAGGTGAGCGCATCTGCTAAGCAAACCCAGGAGGAACTCATCAAGAGACGAAGTCCACATCGGGCTTCTCTCCCCCATTCCCCAGTCTGATTTAGGGCACTGACCACAGCAACCACACTTGACCCTTTCCTCATTCCAGGCTCATGACCAGGAAATTTTCCGATATTCGGCCTTAATT